ATTTTACAGTCGACCCCCCTATAAGATCATTGATTTTTCCGTTTTATCTGAATTACATGTTGTAAGAGTCACTTAGATTTTACAAATATGTGAGCCATTCACAGTCCGGCACACGTATTTGTAAAATCTAAGTGACTCGTACAACATGTAATTCAGATAAAACGGAAAAATCAATGATCTTATAGGGGGGTCGACTGTACATATAAAAACAATTTGTCAAAAATCAGTAGTTTAAATCTATTGTTTTGCAATACCATAATATACTTTTTCATGTATGATATAAAAAATTTATATCTGATTTAAAATATCTCTAGAATTTTAAGTTTCTCCTTTCTAACAATTAACGTCATTTTTCATTAAAAATCTTAAAATACAAATAATACCACACAAATCAAGGAGTCAACACAGATTATTCCTAGTATAGAGATTGAAGCACTTTCTCATTAAAAAAAGTAAACTAGAATATAGAGAAAATGTAACAGGAAAGTAACTCTTTAATAATATATCATTAGTAAAAATTATAATTTTTTTCTGTCAAACAAAAATAAAGATTTTATATTAAACATATGTAGATATTAATGTACACAGGAATTATAAATTTTTAAAATAATAAAAATTAGAAATCACTATGAGAATGAATTCTTCACTCAAAGCCAATTGTGATATAATCGTTCTGCTTATTAATTTTGTAACACAGGTTGTTAAAAATTCAAAATGCTATTATTAACATAATAATAACTATTTTCACTTTATTAAAATATTTAGTAATTATGATTACCAATCACATTATTATATTCCTTTAATATTTTGATATTTTTTATCCCTTCTAAATCATGTAATTTAAAGTTTTTGACAGCTGATTTGTTTAGCCTAAAAACTTAGAAAATATTTAATCTCAATTCAATATTAAAAAAAAAAACAAACACTTATCTTCTTTATAAACAATATTCAATACTTGTTTGGTAATCTTTCATATTTTTACATTCATAAAGTAAAAAAATTTCTTTAACCAGAATATAATAGATATTGGCTTTAATTGTTATTAAATACATAAAATAATATACCTTGAGTATGTCCATGGAAAGTTCGAACATGACAATATCCTTTTAACCAGTTTCTTTGCAAACGATATCTTTCAGCAAAAGCTTGTTTCCAATCAACTCCGCCATTAGGAAGACGATAATTAATCATCTGTTTCTGTTCAGCTGCACGAGATAATTGCCACTGAGGCTGGCGACAAAACCTTTGCCACAAACACGGTTCACTTGCTAATACATTCCATGATTTGCAAACCATAGCACTCATAGAAAGGCTAACTAATAACAAAAAGAATTTAAAATAATTTATTACCTCTTGATAAAAAATTTGTACATATATCAAAATAATTCAAAAATCTACAACATATCAAGTAATCTACAAAAACCACACTCATACCTTTAAATGCAGTGAGAATTTTACTTTTTGAAATTTTTTGGTCATTTTAAATGTCCTTCCTCAGGATAAAAACTGATTGCGATTTAAAAATAAGAACAAAAACAGTTCTCTGAAACAATTTACATTTGGAAATTTTAACACTTTAGAATCCCAACCATTTAACTGCACCTGTGAAACTGCAACACAGATTACAAATATAAATTGACGAAGATGACATATTCTAACATTGAAAATTAACATGTATGTGTCAGATTTAAATATAAATATATAAAAAATAAACAAGAGTGACAAAAAAAACATGACCTTAGCAGATAACATGAAAATATACAAAGCATCTACATGAGGGCAAATAGTAAAATAAAGATGGAAATGCAATATTCAGTGCATGGAAAGCTCTAGATGTGAACTAAAATGTTAAAAGTATGGAAGTGGGAAATATTGTATATTTCGTGTATGTTATCTGTTAAGGGCATGTTTTTTTCATCATTCTTGTTGTTTATTTTTTTATATATTCATATTTAAATCTGACATGTATCATACATGTTAATTTTCAATGTTAGAATATGTCATCTTTGTCGATTTATATTTTGATCTCAAATGAATTGTGGGAAATTGTGCAGCAAATAACAAAAATAATACTATCGAGTTTAATTTGTAACACTCTGTAATCTACATAGAAGTCCTACATGTGCAGTTAAACAATTGGGGTTCTAAAGCGTTAACATTTTGAAATGCAAATTGTTTCAGAGGACATCTTTTGTTCTTATTTTTATATTGAAATTGGTTTTTATCTTGAGGAAGGGCATTTAAACAACCAAAAACGTTAGAAAATATAAAATTCACACTGCATTTAAAGATATGAGTGATTATTTTTGCAGTTTATGACAAATGCAGTTTTACTGAATAGTGATATAAAGTAATATTTTATATCTAATGTTAAACGTTTTTTGTTTATTGATACCTGAAATAAAACTTGAATTAAAATACATCATAGAAATTTATCATTTTAAATAATTAAATTTTTTATTTTATACAGTCGACCCCCCTATAACGGAAACTCCTATATATAGCAAAAAAATTGCGGCAGTATTCGTATAAAGGGACTCGTAAAACGTCGTCGCCGACTCGTGTCGCGACAAGATTGGTCGAATCTAGACCAATAGTGGATGAGCAGCCGAACTACTTTCCGCCGTCCAGCGCTACGCTATGGAAAGTTTTGGCGGGTAAATTGAGTTTACTATTGTCTGTACAGTATTATATATAAATTAGGTACTGTATATATAATTATATATTAACTTAATTTATTGTAACTTTATTATAATTATATATATACTTTTCGCTGTCTAGTGCCACGCTACGGACAGTTTAGGCGAGCTATCATCTGTACAGTATGTAAATTAAGTACCGTAAGTCTAATACAGCACTGTAATTTTATACATTTCTTGTGAAAGAAACATTTCTTATTCAACGGCGATTAAAATTATTTATATTAATGATGTCTCCAAAGTTCAACGAAGTTTTCGCAGAAAAATAACATCAGAAATCGTGCCAGCGGTTTGCTGCGCTGTTCCGCGACGAAAACAAGCTTGAGTAACAGCGATGTCGAATGGTGCACACTCGGTAAGTAATCTTACAATTTTTTGTTTATAGCATAGTTTATACAGATTATTCCCCAATAATTATACGTGTTTTGGAAATGCTGAGTCGAATTAGTCTAGAATCGGTTAATTTTATAAAAGAAAACCTTTCAAACAGCCTTAGTACGTAAACTTCACACGTGTCAGGCTGTGATTGGCTCATGTATTTAAGAATTCCTACAATGTAAAATTCTTATAAAGTGGAACATATCTAAGCATTATAGGGGGATCTACTGTATATGTAAACAGTCATATAATTATTCAAGCATTATTAAATCTTATTTTTAAAATATCAAATAAATTTTTAAAACAACTTAAAAAAAATAATGCAATTATTGTTTGTGATATTACAAACATTACAGATTTTGAATTTTTGTTCAAATATTTTCTAAAAACATCAAAATATGATTTATAATTTATTTATTAATCTTAAATTCATAAAAATTTGGATACAGCTATTACAAAAATATTTGTCAAACTGAAATAATGAGAATGAGCTTCACTAATGCTAAATGTGTAATTTATTTAGTGTTCATCTGACATATTATATTTATAATTGTATCATGTCAGCATCTTTTATGCAGAAATGTCCATCAATTCATATAAGATTTAAGTGATTTTATTGCACATTATTTCTACAATTTATGTTAAACACCAAAATTCAAATTCAGTCAGACCTGAATCTTCCTCGGCAAAATAAATTAAATAAAATGGGCTGCAACTTTTAATCATTTTTTAAAAATCATGTGACTTTTGGTCCACCTTATAATTATATATAGTTAATGAGGCTTCTGGCTCCTAAGCTTTCCATATCTGGTCTCAATTTTCATCTGTCTAATTCCATTATGAAGGACAAATGGATAAACAGATGAACAGACAGTGGAAATGTATAGATCTGCAATTTGAATTGCAGCCCAATAAAACTAAACTAATTCTAAAATATAATTTCTGAAGGAGAATGCTTTGTTTAATTTTAATAATGTAATTTGAAGCACAAAGACATCCCTATACACTTTCTTTATGTTAAATGAGTTTAATATAATAAAATTCCCCAAAAATTATATAGGGTTAGTGTTTCAAATTACACTAATTCCAAAACTGGAAAAGACTTTTGGGCACTAAAATACCAAAAATATGCTAAATCTGCAACCCGCTCATCTGTACTGTGGCCTACTGAGTGAAAGTAACATTTGTGATAGAAACACTATATTAAGGGAGTACCACATTTTGATTCCAAAAATGAGTGATAAATTGAAATTAATTAAACCTTAACTTACTACATTATCACCATTGTAGAAAAAGGAAAATATCGTGTATTTTACAAGTATAATAATAAAAAAAAAAATGTATAGCTAAATGGAGATTTATCACTTAGAGAATGCCATTCAATCAGGAAAAGTTTTATGTTTAGCTAATATAACTTGTGCAGGAAACTATATATTTCCTATCATTATAGAAGGATTTATCATTATACTGATAATTGCTGTACCAAGATTTAATTGTGTACAAAAATTTATGAACAATTATTTACAAAATATATTAATCGGATTGTTAAAGCTGTTGCAAACTACATCTTTGTGACAGCAAAATGAGTGCTGCGAGCTTATGCTCATGTCACTACACTAGCAAAGGGATAACTGTGCAGGCACAAAGAAAGGAGCAGGGCCTTTGACATCATCAAGTGTGCTAGCACACATTTGCTAGCATTTTGCTCTCACAAAGCTGTACTTTGCAGCAGCTCTTATGTTGAGTAAGTGCTGTAAAACTTTAAAATTGTCAGAAAACTTTTATAAGTCATAATTCATTTTAAGAACAATTTATTAGAATTTATGAATTACCTAAGTTAATATTATAACTTAAAATGCAATTATAACAGTATCAAGATATTTTTTTTTAACTTATAATAATAAAGATATAGTATAGTTGACAAATTTTATATATTAACACATCTTTTATGTCCATATAAAATTTATAGAACAGAAAAAAACCATTTCATTTTAACAAAAATTCATCAAAAAATCTGAAAATTATCTATTCAATTAAAGATATCAACTTTATGATATTTCCTTAAAAATAAAAAATGTTTTGAATGAAAAAGGAAAGAAAAAATAATAATTGTATTATCTTTTTTTAAGTAATTACTTTGTGAATTGTTTAAGGACTGCTGATGGTGTGAATGGCAAAAAGGACAAACACAAGGTTTTACCTTTGTAAAAAAAGTTGTATTGATATTTTTATGTTTTTATTAAATGTATTATCTTAATTTCAAACGGAAAAAACCTAGATTTATATGAATCATATGGAAATATCATTTAGATCTGGGATTGTCATGAAAAGAATGTCAAAATAATGTCAAATGTACTTTTTAAAATGCTTATATATATTTTTATATAAAGAGAACATTGTTCCATTCAAGTAAATATTTTTTCATACATTCTTAAATAACTCTTATTAATCTATGATGACTACTGCATGAATAATATTTAACAATATTTTGGTAGTTTTAGAGTTAGGTTTAATGATGAATCTAAAATGAACTTTTTTTAATATAAAAATACATATTCAAAACCCTGTGACTTATCAAAATACCATATGAGATTTATAAGTTTATTGATTTCAATTTGAAATTAATCCATAATTAAAATTTTAAATATATCATAATATAAAAATTTGAATCATTAATTTGTATTGTAAATTATCTTAAATGTTAAATTCAATATTATTTTCTATGTTATTTTTTCTTTTGCTTTATTCATAAAATTATACGTTAAAAATAACATATGCAAAAACATCTGTTTTCATGTATCAGTTTGTAGGATATGATATAATTATTACCAGCTGTTTTCACCAATAAAAAATTTCAACTATAAAGTTTTTAAATTTTATCTATCAGGCTTCTTCATTAGAATCTGTTTTACATAATTTGTGTAATTTTGTTGATTGCTTGAATAAAAATTTATTAACTTTTTATTATTTTAATTAAGTCAAAAATAAATTAATTAAATAGCAATTTCATGTTAAAAATGAAAATAAATCATATTTCTAACCTGTATCAAGAAAAGACAGTATATATAAAGCTAGATTTTGTGGTAACCATGATAACAAATCTTCACAATTTGGAGGACAAAACTGATGCATAATTGGAGTCATCGTTACAGATAACATGTGATTTTGAGAAGCACCACACTGACTCTAAAGTAAAATATAAAAAATATAAGAAACATTTTAGCTATGAAATTACTATTTTATAAAAATTAAACAAATCAGTATTAAATACATTTAATTTTACAACTTAAAAAACATAATAATTAAAAATTTAACAAATTACATAATATAAATTTACAAAGTTATTTTTAGAAAACATATTTTACATTCAACTACTAATGTAATAAATTCTGTAATACTTACTTTCAATTGAAATTGCTAAGTTAGTGCTAAATAACATGCACATAAAATTTAAAACTCTATTACAGTAGAACCCCTCTAATCCGTCACCTTTGAAACTGGGGGTATGGTCGGAATGCAAAAAAGGTCAAATTATCAGAAAAAAGTAAAATAAACAATCTTCCCTTTGTCCAGTCTTTGTAGCACTGCTAATTTTTCATTTAATGAAAGAGTAACGTGTTTACGTTTCACTCCTGGCATGTTGAAAACACACACAATGTAAAACATATACTGTAACGAACACAGAAGAATGCCACGGACGGTGAGTCACTGACGAGTCGGGACAAGTTTCTCGAATCCGACCACGGTCGGATTAACCAGAGTGACGGACTAGCCGAGGGCGGACTAGAGGGGTTCTACTGTAATTAAATCTAGAACAATGTGGTGCATGTTGTGTGTGTTTCCAATTTGTGATATATTGTTAGTGGGTGGAGGATGAGTACCAGAGTACATGCTGCATTGTTCTAGATTATAACCACAATATGATAAGCTTATATAAAGAAATTGCTCATCAGAAAGATGATAGATTAACTTATAAACATGTTCCACTATCTATAATATTCTCAGAAATGGAAAGGACAACACTGACAAGCTTAGGGTACCAGTTTATAGGATTATGTTGAGAGAAAATAGATTAGTGTATGATCATGAGTACATCGGCAGCACCACAAAATCACTCAAAATAAGGCTTGCAGAACACAGATGTGAAATTGATAAAAGAAAATACAACACCACTCTAGCCAGGTACACCACAGACAATGATTTTCAAGCCTATCTAGACAAAGCTTCCATTATATGATGATCTAAGCATTACGACCAAATCAGGACACTAGAAGTTCTTGAGATACAGTGGTACCTCAGGATACGAACGCCCCAGCATACGAAATTTTCAGGATACGACACGAAATTCGAACATATTTTTGCTCCACGATACAAACAAAAACTCACCATACGACGTTACATTAGTTTGCAGCGCCATTTTTTATTCACTTCTGTTCGTCGGTCTCAGTCCGTGTGTTTGCTTCGTCATGGAAGGATCTCGCTCGATAAAGGAAATCTTGAGGTATTATCAGAAAGTGACTGATTTTATTGAAAAGGAACATCCCGAAAAGATTCACACTGGTCGTATTGCTGCTCAGAGTAATATTTGCCTAGTCATTTTTGAAACATTTTAAAAAGTAGGCAAAGCCAAACGTCTTTGGATAGATATTTTACCAAGCGACCTCTATCGAGTGAAAGTGCTGGTGGAAGCGAAGGAAAGAAAGCAAAATGCAGTGAATGAAAATTTTAAAAATATATAAAACAACGCTAATTTTTTAAATCTTTTCTAAGTTATTTTTAAGTTACTGTTACATTATGTTATGTAAGTTAAGTTTTAGTATCATTTCCCTTCTCCCTCTCTTCCTCCACCAGTTTACACCACCACTGTGGTCTATCCTCAAAGGTAAAGTGTAAATAAAACTACATTTTTTTTATCAATTATTATTCTATTATGATTATTTATACATTTACAACTACAAAATGCATTTTTCAGTGTTTTCCTTACTATAGTTATTATTTTTTTAATGTATTACTTAGCTTTGAGTGTGTTTTTCGTATTGAACGAATTATTTGGTTTTACATGTAATCGTATAGGAAAAAATGATTCACCTTATGACATTTTCATGATACGATCTCAGTGTCGGAACGGATTAATTTCGTATCCTGAGGTACCACTGTATTCAAATTTGAAAAGAAGGGCTTTTGCATCAATTTCAAGGATAAAAAACAATTATCTTATATCTGGCAATCTTTATACCAACAATAATAATCAATATATTAATAATAAATTTTTTTATTTTTATTTTTGTAACTTCTTGTTTATATTTATGTTTTATTATGTATTAGACTTTATGTTAATATGTATCACATTATATACACTTGTGCATTTTTTATGTCTTTGAGCATTTTCAAATAATCTTAAAATGTTCCTTTCCTTGCATTCCATTTTGAAACACTTTAACCTGAAGAAGATCTCCTATGTAGATTGAAAGCGATTGTATTTTATCTGCATTAAACTATGCTGGAATTTCATTTATAAGGTTCATAGGTTTGAGTTTTTTATGACATACTTTATTCCAGTCTTTCAGTATTTGAAGTATTTGGTTATCATAATGATTACTTAATGCTTCATTCAGGAGCAAAACTTTTATTTACTTCAAGAAACATTTTTGTTCTTTTGAAAACTGCTTCAGTTCTATATTTGTATCAAATCAAATTCATTCTTCCAGAATTGAACAGTTTTGAAAATCAAATTAATTTATCAAGTAAATTGGACACTAGAGCAGAAAAATCATGCAAATCTAGAATGGCTTTCCACCTAATATTTGAAGAAAATGAATCCTGCTTATTAATCACATTTAATAACAAATGTATGTAATATCATTCCAACTTTCTAACAGAATTTGAATCTGACCATTGCTTTATAACTAAAGGTCTTCCCCAATACACCTGCCCAATATGTTAATGTAGTTCTTGTCCTATTATATTTAGCAACAGATTTAGCAACGATGGGGTGAGATTCGCCACCCCTTTAAATGATGTGACAGTGGGTTAGTCTGCATAGCTCTCATACTCGTGTTGTAGTTTAGCAACAAATCAGGTAAAATGGCTAGCTTAAAAAGGAAAGTGTTAACTTTTTTTAAGTGAATATTTTTATTGTTTCTTTTTTTTTTAATTGGTATGCATTAATTTAACCTTTTGTTGCCCTTTGATTTGACATTATTCTCAAAACCAAAAGTGCCACCATTATTGAAATTTGAGACAAAATTTCTTATAAAAGGTCATTTTTGAAATTTTTAATTACATCGTTGTAAATTTAGACATAATAATGTAAATAAAGTTGATTTAAATATTTAGTTTGCACTTTTATACATATGATATTAAATTAGATGGATTTTATAATAGATTCTTAAACACACTTGATACTTTTATGGGAATGAAATTATGATCCCGCAGATAACGACACTGGGTTATACATCAAAAAATTGCCAGTCCCATGGATGACATTATAAGCGGGTTAAACTGTATATAAAGCTAGTAGTTTACACGGAAATTTTTTCTTTGTACAGTACATACAGTAAAACCTGTCCAAAGCAGAACCTTAATAAAATAGAAACCTGCCTAAATGGATAAATTCTTAGGAACACAGCAATTTTCTGTGTTAAAAAAACCTGTTCAAAATAGAAAAACCAGAAAAAATATTCAGTAACATATGAGTCCAGTTTACACAGTTTCACTGTATTTGTTTTCAACAAGATAAATTCCATATTTCATCTTAATTCAGAATCATTTGTTATTGAATAATTATAAATAAAGCAAACCACACTGTACAATACACTCTTGGTTTTACAATTGCACTCTTAATGCAATGAACTTCATTACATAATTGTAAAATCATCTTGAATTTTATAAGTTAAAATAATTTGTATTAACAATTTTAAAATTAAACTTACCATAAGGGTCTTTAACATTATATTTTTCTGTTCATCATTAAATTCTCCAAACCATTTTTTCATTACCTGCAATTAAAATTTATAATTTTTTATACTGACTTTCAATATTTAAAAACTACCACATTTAAATAGCACATAACAAAAACCAAGAAACACTAATACGATCAGAGGATTTATATTATAGAAAAATCTCTTTTAAATAGAACTTCTCATTTATCATAAATAATGGTAATGAATATTATATTTCATAAGTTTAAAGTTCAAGAATTCAAACATTTGAAATATTTACTTTCTCAGTAAAAAATTTATTTAAAAAATTAAAACTTTGCAATTAAAATTATACTTTTATAGTTATTATTATTGTTGTTTAACAATCATTTGATGTCAAATCAAGAGTTTCTAGAATTTTAGAAATTACAAGAAATTAACTATCTCTGATTTTCATCACATCATTTTTAGGTTTTTTTTATTGAATATTACTTTGTGTTTTTATAATTTATACAAATTGAAAGTTAAAAAGCATCTCTTTTCTGAAGCAAACTTTTTCTTTTTTTTTCAATCCATGTAACTTTATGCATTTCTGCTATTCACACAACTACACAAACTATAAAGTCTTTTTCTAATGTTTTAGAATTATTTTTTCAGTTCTCAAAGTTAATTAAAATTCTTTTGTGATACATATCTTAAAAGAGTAACAGGGATCTTCCCATATTTGACATCACATCCATGTTCTGAAAGAGAGACTTTCCTGCAACCTTCTAACCTCCTGTCCATATTCTGCCATTTTAATATAACACGTAATGGCCAGTTTCTCAACTGAAGTAGTTAGCTCCATCTCTTCCTTAACAAAATATTATTGACTCCAGCTATGGCCACATCTTTTCCATGCATATCTTTGAACTGTCCCCATAGTACTGAACTCTCAAGTGTCAACCCTATTGCTTTATTCATTTTCATTCTTCTTCTACAATGATTTCTAAATTGGTCAGAATTCTCTATTTATAATTTCTGACTCTAAGATAAAGTTAGATACCTCTTTTGACTATTTTATTCAACAGAATTTTTCTCAACAGACATTACCTTCAAATTTGTCATTTAAATTGTATTGCAGATGTCAAAACTTTTACTTGCATTATTTATTACTGTAATTTATGTTTATTTGTTTTCAATGTTTGCAGATTTGTGAGATCAAACAGTAGAAAGATCAGAAAAGACAAGATGAGAACTAAATCCAAGTTAATGATAAGAATCAGCAGCAGCATAAAGAAAAGTTCTTAGTAAACTAAAAAAAAAAAAAAGCTAGAGAAAACCTAATAAAAGAAATCTTCCTTAAATAAATAACATTTGACAATCATAAAATAGACACTATTATTAGTGGTGAGTCTTATACTAAGTTGAAACAGTCCATTAATTACATCAGAAATCATCAATAGGGTCATATCCAGTTGATTTTTTTAATGAAATAATGATAAAATCTCCACTAGCATGGATTGAGTTTATCTTTTTACATTGTCAAGAGCAAGAATGTCAAAGATAGGAAATATACTTTTCCTTTTTTTTTCTGTTAAGAGCTTTTCCCATTTAACTGATTATATCATTTACATCACAAATTTTTAAATGATGCTATTCTTTATAATTTGAAGTTTGGACTATTTACAAAAAGTCAAAATTTACTTTTGAGTCCATCTTTATCCTTATTACACTACCATAGAAGTAACAGTCACAAAAAAAAAATTTCTGCTTTGAAGAACTCTTCCATTGGGATTTTTTACCAATTTTTACCTGTGTTTTAAGAAGAGTTCTTCAAAGCAGAAATTTTTTTTTGTGACTGTTACTTCTATGGTAGTGTAATAAGGATAAAGATGGACTCAAAAGTAAATTTTGACTTTTTGTAAATAGTCCAAACTTCAAATTATGAAGAAATAAATCCTGAGTAATCACAAAAATTGTAACTAGATGCTATTCTTTTTGCACAATCCCATTACTTGTACATTTAACAGAGAGAGAATTCGAAAGTCCAATGGATTAAGGGTCTAGGAGCATAAAAACCTGGAATTCTGGAAGATTGGACAATCTAAGAGGTTCTATTTGGACAGAATTCTAAGTTTGTTCAAACAGAAGTAATCTGGAGGATCTTCATAAAATAATGAATTAAATAAACCTTTAAAATCCAGCAATAATTTTTGTCAAGCAAATGTTTTCAGCTATATTAGTAACCATCAGGTTAAAATATAGATGTTCAAGGTCATACTATCACCATATTATAGAATAAATTTAAATACAAAACAACAAAATATCACACTCTTAATGAACATAAAGTTAACAACAACTTGAAAAATGAAATCTAAATGTAACAAATATAAAGTTGCATGGTGATTATGATTATCCCATTATGCTTATATAATTATATTGTTACTCAAGTAAAATATATCATGCATTACATAGTGTTCTTATCATTATGTTTTATGCAGGCACTCTTAAATCTGTGTTTATAAATTTTGATGATCTCAAGTCAGGATCAAAAAGATCACTGATCCTGCACTTGGCAAAAACTTGGATCCCATTTTTGGGATTCATTCCAAAAAAATCACATTGATCTGGTGGCATGCAAAAGCCATCAATGTGGCTGAAAAGTTTTCTTCTCACATATATCAGTGTTTATCTTATTTAGCAGCAATCTCAAAGTACTACCTATAAAGTTACATTCCTGAAATATGATCAAGGTACCAATATTAACAAGGTATTAATACTTATTTTTGATACAAACTAAAATTTTACCCAATATTTGTTTTGATACTTTTATCAATAATTACCAATAATCAGTAATTAAGTAATTGGCAATGAATATTAATTTTTAGATTCTTTTAGAATATATTTGTAAAGAATGCCTTCATTTCAAACTGTATCTCAACACATGATAGATGTAAATGTGTTGAGATACAGTGTGTTCATGTGTTCATATTAAATTTTTAAAAATTTGTATTTTGTTCCTTTAAATAATAAAAATATCCTTAAAATAGATAACTTTTTATAAACAACCTTTAATAATTCTGAATTTTGTTTGGTACCTATCTTCTTCCAGTTTCAAGTTCACAACACCTTATCCAATGAGAAACTGTACATGTTCCTGAAAGCAAAACTGACTGTAATGTGATGACGATTAGTCATATACAGTAGTGTTCACTTATAACAAACCCGCTTAACTCTCAGTTCTAACAAACCAATTTTAAAAGTATGAATAAAACACCCATGAGAGCAATATTATTTTTTCGGCTCCAACAAATCCATATATAACAAATGATATTTGGATTTAAAAAACATGAAAGTTATCACTTATAACTTATATACAAAGAGTTAGGGTTTTTAAATAAAAATTTTTTCCTGTAACATAATGGGAGCAACATGAAAAGGTTAAACAAAATGTAAGGGGTCATGACTGAAAATGACCTAATACATAAATACCTAATACACAATTAAGCAACATAGGGATATGTTGCTTAACTGTGCATTTTTGCTTTTAACTACTGTAACTAATTTCAATGCACACATTTACCTAATTTTTCATCACAAATTTAAATTTTTATACTCTCTGTCAATACGCGCTGTTAGTCTCCCGTTCACTTGTCAGGACGTCTAATTGACTCTCACATGTCAGCCAAGTGGATGGAGATAATTTGGGGTCGACGATAAGGTGAAGGGCGTGATCGTGTAAAGGAGTCTACCATATTTTTAACAAATAAAATAACAATTTATTAAAACAAGCCTACACAAATTGTGTTTAAACCGCCTAATATGCTCGAGAGAGAGTTTCCCACTTTCATACCTCTTTATGGAGTTCCTTGATCTGTTTAATCCGGGGAGGCGCTTAAATGTTCAAATCTATTATCCACAGGAACACAAATTTAAAAAGTTCGCGACTTTTGCGAAGATTTAATTCTCAACGATCATAGATCGAAATTCGGCGGGTTCGGAGAATCGGCACGATGTTGTCGGTCCGACGTTCGGTAATAGATTCCCCTGAGAGGGGGTAAGAACTGTCTTTTATAGGTTTTTATGGGGAATTTTCACCACATGATCGAATGTTCATGAGTTAAAGGTTATAGGTGTTCCTGGGATCTAAAACAAATGACGACATTTAGATGCTAACTGTAAACCTTCTTGCAAGACAAGATGCATGTTCTGCAAAGAACAATGGATGTTGCTAGTTATGACTGGAAAGTTTACACAATCCCGGCTAAAAACTGTTTTTTTCTTCTAGGGCATCACATAAACGAAAGTTTAATTAATTACCATTTTTGTTAATAAAAGAGCAGGATTTCCATCACAAAAATTCCGGATCTCACATCTCTCTGTACCAGATTCTGAGAAATCTGGAAACTCTGAAATTCTGAGAAATTCTTCTACTGACCAATGAACTTAGAAATTTACACTATCATGGATATTCATTTGTTAGAGTTATAATTTAAATTTTAAATGTTATTTCTGATCTGTTATTAACAGTTAAATGATTTTATTCGATTTCTCATCCATTTAATGTTTGGAAATTGAAAGTAAGCTTTTGATTGGCTAGAAAATTTCAAATGTAAGTACAGTATTTCAAATTCAAATTTCAAAATCAAACCATCACATCATTTAAAATTTATGCTGTTATTGGTTAGAAAAATTCCATTTATTGATGTTGGTTATAAAGAATAATGAACTATGCATTCCCTTGAGGCATATCAACTTTTGCCATTCACAAGTTGAAATTACAAAGTACTGTGCATACTTCCTTGTGAAATATGACAACTCTTAAGCACTAATCAGTGTAAACAGAAACATAAGTCATTTATGTTACAGATTAAATATGAAATTATTAAAAGGTTGGAAAGTGGTGTAAAGCAAAGCAAATTATGTAAAGAAATAATTGTAACTAAGTTGACAGTTGCTATCATTTGGAAGAAAAAAAACACAATACCTGTGAGTTTCCAACGTGATAATTTGAAAGCTAAAAAACTTAGAAAATCAGCATATGATGAATTATATTAATTATCGTTAAAATGGTTTTCTCAACAGAGACTTAAAAACATAACTATTAGTGGTGCTATATTGCAGTCAAAAGCGGAAGAGTTAGAAAGCAAATTAGAAAAGAGTACTGAGTTTAAAATATAGTAGAAGTTGGATCAAGAGATTTAAAAAAAAGACATAGTATTGGAAGCTAAAGCCGATAGATGGAGAAGCAGCTGCAGTAAACATGAATGTGGTAGAAGACTGGTTGCAAAATAAGTGGCCCAAAATTAGAGAAAATTTCCAAGATTGTGATATCTTTAACACAGATGAAACAAGTCTTTTTTATAAGCTTACACCAAATAGGATGTTAAAATTCAAAGGATAAAGGTATGCAGAAGAAAAATTATCTAAAGAAAGAATTACTATTCTACTAGCTGCATATCTTATGGAGCAGAAAAGAGAAAATTGTTAGTATCAATAAATCAAAAAATCCAAGATGTTTCAAAAATCGACAGCTACTGATAAACTACAAATCTAACCAAAGAGCTTGGATGATCCCTGACATTTTCTGTAGCAAACTGCAAAAATGGGATGAAGAACTGAGGAAAAAAGAAACTCAAAATTTTGTTATTGATTGAAAACTACTCAGTGCATTCAGATATCAAGAATTTACATTGCATTACACTGGTGTTCATGCTGCCCAATACAGGTTCAAAATCACAGACTTTATATCAAGAGATTATACATAGCTTAAAAAGCAGCTATTGGCAAATTCTCCTTACAAAAATGGTAACTTCTAATTATAAAGAATCATTTTCAATAAATCTCGATGCAAAAACTTCATCCATACGACATGGCAAAGGTATCAATGCAAACAATAGCAAATTGTTTTTGATACAATGGCTTTATACAAACTAATGGAGAAGAGTTTGATTCAGATGATGACATTCTGATCAATAAACTTTTGAAAAGCAAACTTACAAATGATGAAACAAAAAGTGTTAAAGATGTGCTGACTATGATTTTGAAGAATATATCAGAGTTGATGACAGTATTAGTAGTAGAGAACTTTTGACTGATGATGATGATAGTTTCAATGTCTTCCAAAAATAATGAAATTAGTGAGGATGAAGATGATGATACAACATATGCAAACAGTGCCAATGTTTGCAAATTTCTGAAGTTTTTGCAAAACACTATTGTTATTCAAGAGTTTTACAAATGCATAATACTCCACAAAATATTTTAAATAGTTTTGCTGAAATGGAACTGTATATTACAGAAGGCTATACAACTAGCAAATATCAACAAACAAAAATAATGGAATTTTTTAAGTAACTATGCACATTTATATTGATGTTTTAATGAGCAACTTTCTATGTAATAATTTGTTACATTTTATCTTTGAGACATTAAAGTTTAGTTTTTCAAAATTAGACTATATTTTATTTCTTATCAAATATAACGAAGGTCGGTTATAATGAACCAGTTCTGATGGTCCATACAGGTTTGTTATAAGTGGACACTACTGTACATGTTCTCACACCAATGGTTAATCCTTCATTAAGTCTAAATATTTGTAAAAGTATATAAAAAAATATTTTTGTATCATACACAAATAACTTATTTTAAATCTCAATCTCATAAAAGAAAAAATAAAGAAAATATCAAGTAATAAAATTTTAATCATCATCAATCTCTTATTATTTCTATTAAAATTATATAGTTTAAACATCAATTAAAACAACAAAACTGAACCAAAATTATAATTCATAAATGTCAGGTAAAAATTGGTCCCCACAGACAATCCATCAGCCAAGACACTGTATCAAGTAAATTACACAAGGAAACTGCCTGGTGAGGGAATGCACCATCCTGTTAAAACAGTGCCTGGCAAGAAATCAGTTATTGATTGGACATTCTTCATGCAACTAAAGGAGCACATGTTGAAGTTAATTAAATGTACAAAAAATAACTTCAGCTTTTGTGTTAATTTTTTGTACTTTCGAGTTAATCTTTTTTTTAATCACAAACTGCATGTTGATAAACTACTTTGTTTTTTAAATAAAATTTTATAATAATACAGATAACTCAGACACCCTGTATTTTTGTTGATGCAACAAACCACAGATTAACACAGATCTGTCAAGAAGTAATAAAAATCTGTAATGCTTATTCCACCTCTTGAAATATAATGTTTTTGTGGCACCTTCTGGTAAATCCCTTGATAGAAGTCATTTATGTCTATTGGGTTTAGCAACATTTAAATATGAAACTAAGAATTTAAACAAGTTTTAAATGTTTTAAATTTTTTTCTTAGTAATTAATGCATATACTTCCAAACTTAAACATATCATCATCTTCAATTTGGTATATTATAAAATATTGGAACTCAACTAATAATACTCTAAAAAAAGTAAATCAATCTAAATTTTAAAAAGTAATCACTAAAACATTTTCACTGAAGAACTCTAAAATAATCTGGATAAAGAAATTTTTTTTCTATATTTTTTGGATTGTTTAAAATAGGCTTTTGGCCATAATGCTCTGTTAGACCATATATTCTAAATACAAAAATTCTGAGTTAGCAATTTTTGCTTTCCAAAGGACCTAGAAAAATAATAATCATAAAGCATTGAGGAAGTACTGCATTTGAATGCTGTCTTCTTTTTCCTTAATTATGCTGATTTTAGTTGGTTTACAAGATTCAAAACTGTTCTTCATCAAATGTTAAAGTTATTTGCTATTTTATGATATTTTGCTGCAGTTGTTTGACACTTTATTACTTCTAAAATATTAAAAAAAAAAAAAAAAAAACAATGTTTATGAAACTACATCACAAATAGCAAGCTTAAAAAATTTGTAAAAGATTAAAAATAAATAAATATATTATTTTTGTATATTTTTTACATATAAAATTCTAGAATTTGTGCTATCAGATCCTGCATACAAAGTACTCGATTCCTATACACATTTTCTTACCATATCCATGGAAATCATAATATAACACCCTGGTGCTACTGTTAAGTCACAATTTTTAGCCTTACTTGACGTGTTTGTGTTAGTCTGTGGCAAAACTTCATATATTCTTAAAAATTCAAAATTTAATCGTTTAGAACAATAACACTGTAAAACAATTTCACTGTTTTAAAGTTCAATAATTACAATTAAAATTAAATTAATTCTAACAAAATTATAAAATTTTATGTAATTACAGTGGAACCTTGCTTAACAAGCATAATTCATTCCAAAATGTTACTCGTAAAGCTAAACAATTTTTCTCATATAAATTAATGTAAAATATGATAATATGTTCCATGCCAAAAAAAAATACTTAAATATTTTATGTATAATGTTTATGTAAAAAAAATTATACAATATACATTGTTAAGGAGCATAAATCATCATCTTTTCTTCTAGTGCAGAATGAACCAACCTGAACGTGAATTTGATTTGCAGGGGGAAAAAAATCAAAATACAGTAATTTCTAATATTTAATTATATCCTTTACATAGCCCAAGAATTTGGTATATCATTTGGCATGTTTATTATATAATGGGTTATGGTTGTTGATGTTTATATGTAACTAGCTGCAAGGACCNTACGTCCAGTCAAACGAACTATTTTCAATTTGATCAATTTTCTGGAATGTTTACAATCGTTCTATAATCGAACCAATTCAAATTTAAATTCGAATTCGAAAATTTTTAAAATTGAAATAGAAAATCTTCCACTTTCAAGCCCATATCTCCCGCACCCTTATAGCTATCAAGACACAACCACCATAGTGCACGAATGGAGACTTGGGGCTACTACCACATACAAACACCATTCATGTGCGATGTGTAGTTTTGGCTGAAAAGTGAAATATAGGGACACACAGATATGTCTAAACATAAGTTTGGAAAAGTGTGATCATAAGCAACACTAAGATGCTAGTGGAATGATGTAGACTGATGTAGCATGTGCACAATTTGGGACTTTCCCTCTTCTCATTGCTCGTTAAGCAAGTAAATTTTTTTACAATTTGCTTTGCTTGTTATGCAAATTACTCATTATGAGAGGTGCTTGTTAAGCGAGGATCTACTGTATAATGCTTATCATAAGTAAATAAAATTAAATAATTTTCTTCTGTTCAATAAAATATTCATTTATTACTATTTAAAATTAATAAAATGAATTATTATTAAATTTAAAATTTAATAACTGAATTTAAAATATACAAATAATGAAGATGAAATAGGAAGTATTTTTATTACTTTTAATATTTTCAGAAGTATTTAAAGTTAAAATGTGAAAATAAATTTAATTGGTTTGATGACAACCGAATAAAATTAAATTTAAAATATTAAAGTTATTTTAAATATTCCTGAAGACATTAAATTAATATGAGAATTAAGCTTATTGTTTTATTTGTTATTTCATACACTTTAATTCCAGAAATAGATTTTTTTTTATATCTTTTCATTTGGGCTGCAGTATAAAATTACCAAAAATTTCAAAGTTATACTTACATCCAATTTCATTTTAAATTCTGATGGATTAATTCTTTTCTGACTGTTAACATGGTTTATTTCAGATTCTGATGTTACTGTTTTGTTTGTTTCCCGAATTTCCCATTTTGGTGTACATTTTTCATCTTGTGCACAACCACAGTTTAAATTTAAATGAGGTTTATAACAGTGTGGGAGACTAAAACATTTCCTTGGAAAAATGATGCTTCTTAGTTCTACTGATGATAACGAAGAATCTATTCCAATAGTTTTAGATGAATATGTTGTCGTACATAAACACTCTCTGTTTGCAGCTTGAACAATTCCTCTTGTAACAATATTAGCACAAAGATCTGAAACACTTTTAGCACTTCTTGTCTGCAAATGTCTCTTGTTAAGTCTTATATTACACGAAAGAATCTTGTCACAAAGTTCTTCTACAGTTGTGTGTTCTAACTGTCGGCTATGTCGAACAATTATTGGATATTTACAATAACAACATTTCAAACTTTGTCTCTGGTGATAGAAAAATTGTTTTGAATGAAGATGATCTGTACATTTACGTGGCATTATGTAACTGTCTATATCCATCATTTATATTATATACATGTTGTAAATAAGTTTGCATAAATATTTTACTGCACTTTTGTATTCAAAATTTTAAAAAAATCCTTAAAAAAATTTATATTTTATTTTATTTTCTCATCACAACTTAACTTATTTATTATATAACGTCTTCTTGAATTCAATAATAATGGTGCTTTAAGACACTGCATTCTTTTCTAGAAGATACTATTTTTCTCAATACCTGCAATAAATATTTTTGTATAATAAGAGCATACAGTAAATTAAGATAGACTAAATAATAATAAGTAAATTAAATGTAATAAGTATTAAAAAAATTGCATAGTTACAATAATAATTGTATAAACTTCAGAGTAAGTTAATTTGTTTTTATTTTTCATATGAATTTCACATATTAAATAATACTAACTATATAAATAACTAATAGTTATTAAATAATAACAACTTTACACATTTCACAAATTTATTTATTAATCTGCTATTCTCATTGGGCTGCAATTTGAAAAAATTGTAGACCTATAAATTCCCACTGTCATCCATGTCTTTCCTTAATTATGAGAATAGAGTTAGATAGATGAAAGACAAGACCAGATATGGAAACCTAAGGTGCAGGAGGGTCCGATTATCTATATAAGTACTTCCAATGCAAATCGAAAGTCACATTATTTCAATTCAAAAATCTCCCCCGAAAGGTGTTAGATAACCGGCACAACTCTATTATTAAAGGAAAAGTATAACGTACAGGGGCAAGCCACTACTAATTTGAGAAGGAGAGCATATACAGTAAGACCCTGCTTATTGCTGCCTCGATTAACACTGATTCGATATAACACAATCTGCTTGAAGTCTAAAAAAAGTTCAAAATTTATGATGATTCAAATTATCGCAGCAATTCATTGCTTTGTACATAATACGATTATTCCCAAACACGAACCAATCAGCAAAAGGTGGCAATTCATCGTAGCACTGTACTTTCCTTAAATCTATGTTTGTTTGGTGCAATTTTGGAAAAAATATAACATCGTGGATGCCATAGGCAATATCAACTTCACTTGGCAACAATTAACTGATAAATGCATGAACACAGTGTGGAAGAAATTATGGCTGAAGGTATCCAAGAATCCTCAATGAGAAGAGCCTATCACCATATTGTTAGGTTGACCAAATTGTCAACCTAATTGATACAGCAGAACTAGGAGATGTAGATAAGCAGAATATTGAAGAGTTACTGCAAATTTCTGGTGAGAGCCTTATCAATGACCTTCAAGAACTGGAAGAAAAGGAAATTCATGTTGAAATGGAAAATAGTGATTCTGAAAATGAAGAACCCAAAAAACTTCTCTACAGATTTCCTTAGCAAAATTTTGGTAATGATAACCAAAATTGTTGATCAATTTGTAGCAAATGAACCAGATTTTGAAAAGATTACAAAAGCAAGATGAGGATTTTGGATGTAATCTCTTGCTACTGATGTTTCCTTAAAAGAAGAAAAAGAAAGTGACATATGAAACTACACGTCTTTATTGCAAAAACAAGAATTTCAGAAGATTCAGGACCTTCATCACAAAAAATGAACTTTACATTTCTGTGTGCATATGTTTGTGTGTTATTTAACATATATTATTATGTAAATTAATATAAAAATAACTTAAAATTTAAGTAAAATCTGTTTATTTTTGGTTGCATGTTCCCCTATTCCTATTTACTCTGTGTTAAAATGACTTTGTTTAACACTGTTTCATTTAGCGCTTTGTCGTCTAGGAACATATTCCCCTGCGTTAAGTGGGGTCTTACTGTATTTTAAATTAAATAAATTAAAAAGATGATTAAAAATTGCAGCCCAGCATTGTGACAATGTCACAATAAATAATTGTTCATTCTATTAAAAATTTTATGATAAATATCTGATATGTTCATTTTACAATAAATCTAGTTTTTAGAAATTATTAATTTATCAAAAAACTTGAATTCTGTACCAGTTAAATCTTTTAAAGGTATTGTAAAAGATTTAACTTAAATAAAAACATATATAAATATGTAAAAAGCCTTAATTGTATTACAATAGAGCATCGATTATCCGACCCCTGATTAACCGTCACATCAGTTAACTGACCGTTCTAGTCGGAAAATTTCAAATGTCCGCTAGTGATGTGACATTACAATATTTGGCTATGTCTTGGCTACTTTAATATTATTTTTGTTAAATTTTTGCGTGTTTTAGCTGGCATCAACAGCTCGACCATTAAAGGGAGGCCAGTATTTAAACAAGACTTAATTTTCTAATTATGAATGGTTGTTTGTTTCGTGAGCAATAAAATAATTTAAAAATAATTTTTAACGATACAATAGCAACAATTATTATTTTAAAAAAATTTGTTAGACTAAACATCGATGAAAATTCAACGCAAAGTTGTTTAATAGCGATATACTAATAAACTAATTACATGGGATATACTAATATCCTAATATACTAAACTAATAATGTATTTTTTTCCTTCTTTTTGGTTATCCGATTTTTTCAGTTATCCGACCAACCTGAGTCCCCAATTGAGTCGGATAATCGACGCTTTACTGTACTTTCATTACATAAATCATATTTCTACTTAAAGTTTAAATAATGTTTTAAAAAATTTAACATTTTAAATGTTTTGATTATAAAAGAAATAAAAGTATTCGAAGATAAATTACAAAATAACTTCTTTAATATTCATAATATACTGATATATAATTATGTTAATTTATGCTATTGTCAATTTCTTCTTTTTACAAAAAATAGTTTCCAACCTTTTTCTTGTATTTAACAAATTCTTTTTATGTACCCCTTTAAGAAAAATTGTTTTTTATTGATCCCTGTGAGACCCGAAAGGCCCCTGGGTCTAAATTAATATTTTATTATTTACGTTGAAATAATGTCACCAAATATTATTTCATTTTTGGTGAGAAAAATACTGTTTTAACGTGGGAAAAGGCAGATAACAGATGTTACTTCCTTTCACAGAAGAGAACATCCTCTGACTTTCCCTTATCTGGTTAAAATCCAGCTCAGATGGGAAATGGTTACCCCTCATTCATCCCCCCTTTCATCCGTTCTCACGAAAGAGTTACTGGCCGATGATTGGTCGGCATTCAGAAGATATAGAGGGAACTTGTCTGAATTCGGCGAGTTCAGCGACAGATCCGAAAGCATACAAACTCCACATACGTTTCCCTCCTGATGACCAACGTCCTTAGACGAGTCACATACCGAATAAGTCTAGAGTCTGCACATAGAAGTGATACCTTTATATTTGTGCACATAGTGATCTCCCATACGAAGAAGTAACTGAACTTGCATACAGAGAAGAAGACGAACGACATCTGAAACAGGTCGTATGTTTTATAACGATTTTTGTGAGCTCTCTCTCGATCGCGACTAGGGTAGAGTATAAGTATAGCTATCTACCGAGGTGTATATTGGTTGTAGTAGTTCTGTCTCTCGTTTATCCACCTTTTGTATAATTTATTTTCTTGTTTATTAAATTTAATATTTTGTTTTAACTAAAAATGTCTTTTAATTGTGTGACCGAATCAGATCACATACGCGTGTTAATCCGTGTATAATAAGATTGATTAACTGGTGTCGGGAACCTGACGAGCATCTGAACTTCGCCGTTTGGATCAATTTTGATAACGCTCTCCTATTAAAGTTAGAGAACTGGTCTTACCGACTAGTGCCCGTAAGTGGCATAGATTGAGACCTACGTCCTTGGCTACTCTCACATCCCCTTCAATCTAAATATATAAAATTACTTGACCTGACTGACTGACTGTCTGATTGATTGATTGATTGATTCATCATCACCCAGAGTAAACCACTGAACCTAAAGAGGTGAAATTTTGTACACAGTTAGGGTATACCATGAAAATGCACACTAAGAAGGGATTTTTCAAAATTCCCCCACAGGGGAGAGGGAAAGAATTAAGGCTTAACCTGAAGAACAGCTTCTACTGTACTATTTTAGATGCAATTTTTTTGTTTTCAACTATATTTAGTTTTCATCGAGTACTTAGGTGTATTAAATTGATAACATTTCAGACATTGTTATAAATATTTTTATATATTTCGATTTTTAACCAAATGTTCGAACCGTTTTAAATTGAAATTTGTTATTGTATATTGGTTCGATTATAGAATGACTGTAAATGTTCCAGAAAATTAATCAAATTGAAAACAGTTCATTTGATTCTTAGCAATTCTCATCATTCTCAGCGGTAGGTGTTATATAACAATTACTATGGTTGTTAAAATACTGAATATAAATGGGGTTTGCTTGCAAAATCCGCTCAGGCGAAGTCGCGGGTAATAGCTAGTATTATATATTATATGTATGTGCAACAGTTCTTACATATAATTTTATAAAAGCATCTTCCTAAATTTATTTAAAAGTGAAAAATTATGTTAAATTTTTAATATTTTTGATACTTTTTTAATATTTAAAAAATTTTATTTACCCCATTCAAATTTTCATCAACTCCTAAGAAGTCAATACCAATCCCATTGGGAAGCCCTGCACTAAAACAAAATTGAAAATTATTTGCTAACCAGTGATGACTACATGAAGTGGAAAAGTAAGCAGTTAAATATGTTTAAAAGGAAAAAATTAAAATAATAAGCCAAATACACAAAATCCTGTAAATGTACTGTACTTAAAATTGTTTATAAATAGCTCATATAAGAATTCCAGAGTTAAAAGTGCTCTCCATTGGTAACCTTTCTGAAAACAGGAGTAACCAAAAATCAGTTCACCTCAGGTGCAAGTTAGCTACAAGCTATACTGTAGCTAACTACAGAAAAAAACCTCTAGTTATGATCACGTCTCTACAAAGACCAAACTTTTCTTGAACACTACTAAACATATGCAATTTCTTTGAAATTAAACCTCTCTAAAATGGCCAGTTAATCAAAGCAACCTTCCAAATAAAATCAAATTCAACTTATCAATTTGGGAATTCCCTATCATATTGTACAGCAATAATAGTTAAAGGTGCAGTTAGGTAGATCTCTAACAATTACCTTTATCTTTTCTTAAAGTGTGGCTTTTCCCATGCTCTACAGAAAACAAAATTATTTTTAAAAGGTAATGTTTTATTGTATTTCCTTTGGTGCTCATTATATGTATAAATTTTTCAGTTGTTAATAATTAAGGTACAAATAAATAAAATTGTATTATATAGTATATAAAATTCAATGTTTATACATATAAATTTTAAAATATATTTTAATTTACTTAAAATACTTTATATAAAATATATACATCTTTATTTCTAAACCATAACTGTCTGGCAATTTAAAAATGTTATTAAAATAAAAAACATTTAGTTTTTTACTTAAAAGAGAAGAATAAACCAATATGAAATGGTGTTAAAGAGCTTTTAATTCTTTGCAAGTGCTTTCGACATTCCTATAAACCTTGTCTTCAGGCAATAACTATTATTGCCTGAAGACTTTAACACCATTTCATATTGGTTTATTCTTCTCTTTTAAGTACATATGTTGGTGTGATGTCCAAGCTATGTTTTTATGTTACTTTACCATTTAAATTAATGGTTTTATTTTTAATGGCCTTTCAACTTTAAAATTAAACAAATATCTTTACCAAAATAAAAAAATGATTTTATTTAGATTTTGATTATTTTACATAAAATTGTAATTTCTTTCTAAAATAATTTTTTATTTCTTTTCTTCTATAAAAAAATATTACTGCATGAAAACTTATCCATAATTTATTATATTAAAAACAATACCTAAAGAAAATCATTTATAAATTAAATTAAAATAAAAATATTCCAAATAGAAACATTATTTAATACTAATTTAATTTAATTAATAAAAAAAAAAAGAGAAATGTGAGAATATATTAAATTTGGCAATTGCTTTACATGACAACTTATTCAGTTATTGAATATTGTCATTTATTATAATCAACTCCTTATTCATTAAATATTACTGTCAAATATTTTGTTTTCAGTTTTGAATTTACCGTATGTTAACATAAATATGTTGTGTGATCAGCTTAAAATGTATTTTTGAACTTATCATAAATCGAAATGTGAATATCGTTAACTGAAATGACATTCTGTTAAACATATCAAATTATACTACTTAAAAGTTCATTCATATAAATTCACTGAAATATTGATAGATTTGTAAACTAAATGATGATAAAACTATCATTGATACAGATGAAATTTCATCTTAAAATCTTATGTTCAACCATAAATACTTTACAAATAAAACTTTTAAATGAATGATTTACAGTAAACGCCCAATTATCCAGGCTAATGGTGGGGAGAGGTGGCACGGATAATCCAGAAACACAGATAATCCAAACTATAATTATTTATTTCTAAAATACAACCTTTCTCAAATTTTTCAATTCGAGTTAGTTTTTGTTTTATAGTAAGTACGACTTTCTTTCGATCATCAGACATTTTAAAGGTACTTATCTGAAAATTTAAAAAATAATCTTTTTTTACGTAATTTTACACTAAAAGTATTTGTGGGAGAGTTATTTGAAAAAAATATTATGTATAATATGTATTATACATAAGTACATATAATCAAATCTTAAATTGTAATACGTATTATAACATGCAACTAAACGAAACTTTGCATAAATGTACTCACTATCGTTTTCTCCTCCGAAAAGAAATGTCCAGCGCAAAAGAAGTGGTCTAACTAAAACCAGTTCAGCTGACTTCAGATACCCCCACCACCCGCTTCAAACATCTAAATATGAACACATGCACACTTATAGGATGCGTAAACATGAAAGCAAGCAACTATTTAAAAAATACATACACACATAATTATTTTTTTAAAATTAAATTCATGCATGGATAGATAATCTGCAAACCGGATAATCCACACGTGGATAATCGGGAGTTTACTGTATTTATTACATTTTTATTAATCATCATCATAATATTTTAACATGAAATTGCATCTGTATCATTGATATTATCACCATTTAATTGACAAATCTATCAATGTTTCAGAAAAATTTGTATGAATGAACATTAAGCAAAGCTATCAAGACATTGTGTGGAGTATAGCAAACTCTTTTTGTCATTTTTTGCTTTAAACAAATGGAATACATAGAATGTTTCTTTATTAATAAACAACATTCTTAAAAATTCTTTATTCTTTAGTTACAACTACAGGTAAAGCCTTAATGGCATAAAGTAGCCACTCCCATGATAATGAAAATAAAAATCCCAATTAAAACTTCAAAACAAATAAAAATATCAATTTAACAAAACATGAAATTTTTATAACAACTTTATATAAATTTTATTTTTTGTTAGTATAAATAACATTAATTTATAGGAGTAGGAACCACTATTGGCCCTTAAGTTTTCTATCTATAAACCCAAGAAAACATCTCCAGCTAGCTCCCTTTCTTGACGACCCTGATATTATACCAATTTGGATCAATCTTTAAAAATATATATATATATTTTATTTTTCAGAAAAAAATTACATATAGGTCTATTAATAATAACATATATTACATATACATAAAAAATAAGAACAAATTATAATGTACTGTTGAATATCATATTTATCAAATCTATTTTTAATGTGACTAAAACCAGGGGCCGTATTCTGGTCACTGTCTCTGGTCTCTCGTAAGCCGGTCGCTGATTGGCTAATCCAAATGATTAGCCAATCATTAGCCAAAATCAGCAACCAACTTGCGAGAGACAAGAGACCAGAGACAGTGACCAGAATATGGCCCCAGTAAGACTGTAGCTGTGAACGAAGGGGTGGCAACTCACCTCATTCAGACCTAGAATCTTACCAGAAAGGTTCACAAAACCTAAACGTAATATTCACATTGGGTTGGTATTCAATTTGTCATCAATCCAGAGCTGGATTTGCACGAAAGTTAAACAAGCTGCAATTTAAGACCTCACATTATGAGTCTACAGCTTAGTGCCTCACATTATACCAGTAGGTCTATAACTTAGGGGCTCACATTTATAAGTCTATTGCTTAGTGCCTCGCATTTTTACATATATTATCTGGTGAAGAGGAAGGACTTGTATGTTACAGCATAAGGCAACAAGTCTAAGTCCAACTCTATCAGAAACTTAATGTTTTAAATATTTTAAAGTTAGATTTAATTTGTATGCATTAAATAGTATTTGTATATTAAGAATATATTTATTTTTTTAAGGTAAAAATCTTAATATTGTAGTTTCAATATGTAATGTATATATTATGTATGGTATATACAACAAACCGTCATATCAGACTTAAATCTATTATAAACGGCTCAAATCTTCCTTATCGAAATAAAAATTACGGTTTATATTACCTGCATTCTTAAATATATCATACGAAATTTCATTCTACAAAATCCAATAAACTGCATTCACATCCAACGCTAAATTTAAAGTTAATACATGCCAAATCAAACTTCGAGTATGCAGAGTTTCTCAATTCGGTCGCTAGAGTTCGCTTTCTTCTGTTCGTTTTTTCCTATGTCGTTTGGTCGAATTCAATGACTTTTAATTATGTCATTTTTTTTTAAATTCGCAAATTAATAATATGTTATTATTAATATTGTTAAATATAATTATTGTATTTAATATTCATTATAAAAATAAAATGTGGAATTATAGATTTACGAGTGAAAATTGTTCCGTAGACGCTCTGGCAATTTTCATTCATTTTTTTTTAATATAAATTTTAAAAAATGGATATTCTCTAATGCTTTTGAAATGAGTCACGAGAGATTAATATATGATCCTCAGTTCGTCGACAAAAACTATGAAAATTATATTATAATACTGATTAACGGAGATTTTTTTAAAACTCTTTCCGCCCTGTAGGCACTAAGAGGGTCTCTTTTAGCAAGTCCATTATGGATTCGGCCCGGCCCACAATAGGGCGATCGGGTGGTGAGAGACGGCGCTAGATATATCCGGTCGGATCACCCCCCCGGAAAAATTCCTAGGGATTTTCGACCAGTTCGAATTCGATTCCGGGTTCCCCAGAGCAGTAGGATGACATCTTGACCCGCACGGCCATCCGGCCGATTAACGATTAACATTTGTAAAAATTAAAAAAAATTGTCTTAAATTAATTTTATGAATTAAGGTATAAGAATACGAACGCCCATCCGACCAAACTTTTCTGGATTATTGTTTAATCCAGACACATTTGGCGGGATGGCTGAGCGATTAAGGTAGCAATTTGCCGCTTTGGGGAATCCGGGATCGATCCGGACGAGTCGAAAAAACCCCAAGTAGTCCCATTACTACAAATGTTTGAATTATAAGTGTTGAAATCACATTTCTGCTTTAGTGGCTTATGTTCAGTCTTATATTTCTATACTCCGAAAGTGTATTCGTTTTGTCCTAATAGTATACAATTTTGCGTCAAACTGAATACGTAAAATTACTGAATTCTATTCATTGAGGGGTGAATATCCTGGTTTGCATATATTTTCTCGAGTAATGTACTTGATATGGTATTAAAAAAATAAATAAAAAAAAGGAAAGGCTGACGTCTTAACCAGAGTCGCTAGACATACTAATCCTTGCGCCACCAATAACTCTAATGCTACGATACTGGCGTAATGAATATTTCTGCCACTTCGAGCGCTTAGATCGCGTCTAGGCGTTAGTTTAACTGGAGCATAGAGTCAGTTGTAAACATTTGAAATTCCTTTAATATATGAAAGTTTTTAAACTCAGATATTGCTTTTGTCTTTCTAAAGATCTGCTTATAAATACTATTCTAATTCGATTTGAACATTATTTATGCATTATTACATGATACATTATTCATAATTTACGTAAATGTCGTTAATATTTATATTTCTATTAATGTCGTATTTTAAAATATCAAAAAGCGATTCGATACGCTTTGGAGTACATTTTATATTTATTTATTAAGATTTTAAATTCATATTTCTTATATGATAACATATAATATATATAAAATAAGATCCGGTACAATAAAAATAGCACTATCATGTAAATGTGGTAAAAGTTTCTTTCTGAAATTTGAAATAATATGAGTGCTTTTGAGCACACTTATGCTTTATTTTCACGCATCCTTATATCGACGGTCTTTCTTTTCTGTCTTTTCGCCTTTCATCTGACTTACCACACCAAACATTATGTTATATAAGCTGCTGACAGGTATTTAAAACTGTATGAAGACAAACTAATATTCAAATACTAAATAGAAATACAGTAATTTTGAAATGAAAAACAGAATTAATAAATCATATAGTTGACTTGAAAATTTAATAATTGTTTCGATGCTATTATTGCAGAAACTTCAATCAAGACAATTGTTGTATTGTAAAATTGTTTATTTCGTAATTTATTGTTTAGAATGTCCTAGGGCGGTTAGAATTTCGAGTTCCCGCGAGCACGTTTTCGTCTGACGTGCAACACAGGAGCTCGATCGCAAGGATTCTTAATATAGTTACGATATCTTTTATTACAGGATTAATAGATACTTAGCAATCCTGTAATAAAAGATACTTAGCGCCAGGTATACCACAAATTACACGCTCCATCTGACCCAGTTTGTAGTGCAATGAGCTGTCCTTGGCGCCATGTAGGTATTACTAAATCATTCGGAACGAATTTTAAACCCGGAAACAAATGGATGGACAAGATGACGACCTAAGAAAAAGGACTTGACGACGTAACGCTGGTATTCGTCGAGGAGTGGCGAAAAGATAGAAAGACATCGAGGTCTTCGGTCCACGACTGCACTGTTTTGAGGACAAAGAAGCACGAATTTCGTTATTTGGACAATTTCGACGGTTTATTACAACACATCCTTACAAACACCCCTCGCCGTAACATTCACAATTGAACCATTATTTAGTTTGTTCGTCGCATCCAATCATTTACATATCAATATCACGTTTCGTTACAGTAAACGACACCGTCACATAACACCAACACTGCTTCCCGAAATCCAACCCCTAGGTCCTCGTCCTGGGAAGTGGAAACGTCACTCGATGCTTTCGAGTGGCGGCTAAAGGGGCTCTGGTACACTGATATACACACTACAGTTGTCTTAATTAATCTTTTCTGTATAACTTTGTCAACACAGATGTAAGGGATATTTGATAAATGCTAAAACTTTCTAAAGATATTTTCATTGAAGAGCACTGATGCTGTGTTTAAATTGTTTTATAAGTATAAAAGAATCGTATAATTTATATATGAATTTGAGGATGTTTGTTTGTTTCTTTGTACACTCCTAGGCCGTTTGACCAATTGCTACAAAACTCGTTAGTTCCGCTTAAATACTTCTATCTTAGATTATGTCGTACGTACATCTCACCCCAAAATATCTATTGAATTTCTGTAAATCAATTAATTTCTATCTACATTCAGTTTTCTGATTTACACGTAGTGCCATACCTTGTATATTGGGAAAAAATTAACAAAATCATAAACTAAATATAATTCTAACAAAACAAAATATAATTTTACAAAAATATATATTACATTCGCTCAATTACTGTGACAGGTAGCACGTAGCACTTGCCACTCGTATTTTTGTTTTTTGAACGTTATTTTCTTAATAAGTGCACTCCAGTAGCCGAGTGGATAAAACCACCGAATAGCGGTAGTTAGTTTGTCGTGAATTCGGGCATGGCCAACGGGCCAGCCGCGAGCAGTTTTCCGATTTATCTTCACGTTAGTTTTGGGTCCAGCTTTTCATAAAAGTCTTCCCTAGATTCATCCCCTCAGCAAATCGCTCACGTGTTGCGTTGCCTTAACCAAATAAACCAAACTAATTGTAACAAGTCATTAGACTCATTACATATTTTGACATTGTCTTAATGCCGAGCTGCAACTTTTCGTCATAACGTGTTCTCAATTCTTTTAGTGGTGGTCTTGCCCCTGTATTGTGTAAGGTTGCCGACTTTAATGGGGAAACAATTTACCTCGCGTCAGAATGAGCCTAAGGGAAACCGCGTATGTGGGTGGTGGCAAAGGAGACAAATGAAGAACAACAAGTGTTTTGCAAAAGAAAACCCGTTTATTTGTTCGAATTCATGCTTACATCGATATTGGACAATTAAAAAATCTCGGTGTTCCTATAAAAAGGTAAGAGTTCGGGTGATCGGTCGTAGCCCGGGCGGACGAGAAGGATCGCTGGACGACGCAGATGTTCGGTGTTAAGCTGCGGCGTCCTAGGTGATCGGCGGTAGCACAACATAATAGATAAAGCACAACTGTCGACTTAATCCAGAGGAGACTCCCTTTCGACTTTGAAGTTCCGATTTTTATAGTTCCCCCCACTATTCTCATTTCAGATTGGTCCCTCGTCCCATTCCTCGCTTTTCGATTGGTCTCTCCTTTGTCTCCAGGTGCAAGACGAAAACTTTTTGGGTCGCGGGAAAGGTCCGATTCGAGGTGTCCATCTGATACCTCTTAGTCGACTCTGCTCGGTGACTGTTTATAAAACAATAACACCTACACCCATAACTCAGGCCGTTGTTTACCATTTTTTGACGTCTAAGAATTTAACGATCATTTTCATCTATCAAAAATTTCCCCCTTTTTTTTTTGTTCGAAAAGGTTTATCTCGGTCAACATTTTATAGACTCGCGAGTCGATGATCTACCTATTTATGAGGGATCGTGTTAGAGTTTGTCTTCCGCTAAGACCTTGACAGATAGTTTGACACATACTCGAACAGTTCCGAGTCTCGTTGTTTACATCTTGTGTCGCGCAAGAATTTCACGGTTTACTCGAGTTTGAACCTCGTCTGGGAACCCACAATTGTACATCATACTTTNCATACTCGAACAGTTCCGAGTCTCGTTGTTTACATCTTGTGTCGCGCAAGAATTTCACGGTTTACTCGAGTTTGAACCTCGTCTGGGAACCCACAATTGTACATCATACTTTTCCTGTTAGCAATAAAGTCGTGTCGGTCATCCATCTAACTCCGTTCGGGAGAAAATTTTGAATCAAAGTAACGTTACTTCCGTTCTAAACCGGAAATTCGTATATCTAAGTCTCCTGTCCTAAGCTTTCCATTTCTGGTATCGGCTTTCATCTATCTAACTCATTTCTGGCAGTGGCGTGCCGTCATTAGAAGCGGTGGAAGCGCCGCTTCCCTCGTATTTTATAAAAAATAAATACATATTAATTTTAATTATATAAAAATAATCGCACAATATTTTATTATAACCGCATTATGTATCTTATTACAAATTTCTATACTACACGTGAAAAAAAAATAAGATCGCTATTGTATATTCGAATATTAGTGGCGGAGTGGAATCTCTGTATTGTCAGATTCCAAAAAACCAGATTTGCGCACGCGCTTTACAGAGCACCAACCTCACCCGGTTTAGCTGGTGAAAGCCTACGACCTTGAGTTGATCTACACATTCCAACGCTTCCAATTCTATCCGGGACCGGTTCCGGACTGTTAGGGCTGCTTCACACTATGACCGACT